CCCCCCCCCCAAATGACGCCACTGTGCTAAAATCAACAATTTATAAATATGTTAGGATTTTCAAAACATTTTCTTTCTTTTAGGCTATTTATTAGATATATGATATTTTCTATAAATATCGATAAAAACATTTCCACTGGGTAAAAAATATTGAAATTTAATACACGGTTCATCCTAAAACAGACCTAAGTATGGTAATATAATAAATTATAGTCATCAATAGGCTTAGGGATTTCTAGCATTTGCATACTTTTTCTAATTATTGTTAAATATAGCAGAGTGCGAAATAAATTCGTTTCTCGGTGCCACGATATCAGATCTAAAATTTGAATGTGCATATTTTTGCATACCTATTTGATAGATTTTGCAGGAGAGTGCTAGAGTGCATATTTTAAAATTGTTATGCTTATTCTGCATAATTTAGCAAAAATTTCAAATTTCAAACTAAAAACTATAGATACATATATTTATACTTACATATTTCAACCGGTTGAAAAAAAAATGTATTAATAGGACTTAATACTTCTAGTAATAATAGTAATATGCTATCTGCAAACTACATCTCATATCTCGTTATAATTTTTGTATAAGGATTAACTATAAAGAATACTATAAACCCGTATCAATCGTAAAACCCGCTGAATATCGACCGAATGTCAATAAAGATACCTAATAGTCGATATAGAATAATAGATTATTAATTGTTTAGTGTTCAGTTCAGTCAATTATTATCCGTCGTTGTTTTTGCGTTTCGCAGTTTCGCTGTCTCGCAACCACGCAACATCGAATCATACGTAAAACGTTGTGCAAGCATATTTTCACTATTTTGTAACATTGTGTCATTGTATACTATAATGCCAAAAGTACAAAAGTCTACGTGTAGCCGACTACAAAGTTTTGTTTCGGAGTTTAAAGATACATTTACGTCCGATGGACACGTTTTATTTTGTTTAGTACTACTAAATTAGTAGGTATGTGAACAAAAAGTAGGAAGTGATAAACGATTCAATGAGGTCCTACACCTAAAAACTGAAAAGCATTGTAGTGCAGTAAAACGGAATGAAAATAAAAAAAATAAGGTAGGTAACACAACAATTAGTTTCAAACTCAGACTTGGATAACAAGAGTTCTTTCAACAAAGATTTGTGTAAAGCTTTGCTTTTATCAAATATTCCATTAAATAAATTATGGAACAACRAGTTTAAAAGCYTTTTAGATAAATATACAAATGAAAGCATACCTAGTGAAACCACTTTATGTAAAGCGTACGTAGACGACATTTATCAAGAAACTCTGTTGACAAAAAAAAAAATTGGGTAGGTATCTGTTGATGAGACTACGGATGTCACCGGACGTTTTATGGCAAATGTTGTAATAGGAACACTGAAAATTGATAGGGCAGGGGAAATTTTTTTATTGCATTGCGAAGAATTAGAGAAA